CAATTTTTTCCATCAACTTTTTCATTTATATGTTCTTGGATATTGCGATCGTTTTTTTCTGATGCTAACTGCATTCTAGCTCATATTTATTCTTAATTGGATTCGTGAGTACAATATACATTGCACTGCAAAGATAATGAAGTTCACGGTGCGACGAATCTAGCTCGGAGAGATCTCGAGTTGCAAGTTTAAAGCGACCAGGTGATTCAGTCCGCGTGATTCACTTGGATCCCTTTTATCACTTTCTCGATTCGAGAAGGGAATTATACAGCATTGACAGTGCGACCAACGAATAGAAAGAGGAAGAGAGAGAGAGAGAGAGAGAGAGAGAGAGAGAGAGAGAGATTTTCGCGAGGTGCTATTACGATTGCCTGTAATTGGCGAGTCTATGTGCCATTTTTAATTGCGGTCGCACTCAAACCGTCAATAGGAACGTCTCTAAACTACTCTTGGCGATATCTCGTAATCACTATTCATTAATTCATTTACCCATTGCGTTTCCAAAGCGCATAAAAAAAATGGCTTCTGATTAATTACTTCATAGATGTAAAAAAGTGAATACGCTTTTTCACCATTATACGTGTATCCTAAAAGATCAATAGTTATTTAATCGATCCTCTATGCCTTATTGAGTGTAATATACTTGATATCAGTGAAACTAGGCAAAAAGATGTATTTTTATATAACAGAATGCAATAATATTTACGTATAATACACAATAATATAGATATATCGTATGTATCATACACAAAAAATATTTTTTTAAGCAAGAGAGACGTGAAATAGCGAATGCATTTTTATAAGATGTCACAAACGACCGTGTCTGCATACACAACTTACTGAAAATTCTTTTCGTGCAATAGTGACTTCGCTTACTCACAGCGCACGTAACAGTTGAATTATTAAAGTTATGATAACCCACCCATTACGACATGCGACTCCAACTTTCCTACGATAGCCATTAAGTATTATATCGAGGAATATATATAATGCTTTAATCTTCTTAGACGTGCATATTTTCTTAACAAAACTCGCAAAAACTCAACAGAAAAATGATATTAATTTTATAAAAATTGAATACTGTCGAAAGATTATTATCGAAATTCTTATCGAATTATTGTTAATATTTTTATAAAAATTATCTACAGAAAAAAATTTCGAAAATAGATTAAACCATTAAAGACCAAGATAAATATTTTTTCTCAAAATTTGAAATCCTTTTAATGGCAAGCTACTGCCCTTAAGGAGCCTACTTCCCAAAGTTGACCTATTTTTTTTGGTTGCAAAATCGACCAGCAGTCTTCAATGCAGGTTAATATCATTAAAAAATAAATATTGCAAAATCTTAATAAAATTTTTTTGCTTTTAGGAATTACATCGATATTATAAGATTTACAAACGTTTTTAGAAAATTGATTGTGACATTTTTCTCTATAATTTTTAATTTCTAGTATTAAATATTTGGATCTTAAATTAATATTCTTACATTTCGTTGTCCATGTTGTTAAATATTTCTCTCAATCTAAGACAAATTAAATTTCTATTAAGGAATAAAACTTAAGAGATTAATAAAAAATACATTTTATTTATTTCCAATTCCTTTTTTATTTAGAGTGAATAAAAAATGTTTCAAAAATATTTGATTGTTGGTAATTCAAAATTATAAATATTCTCACCATGGAAGAATCGATTTTAAGCTGGCCGAAGAATATGTCAATTTGTGCCGTCAATTCAGACACCCCGTATTTTTTTCCCATGGTTGTAGTGTTTCCAATATACACATTCGTTCTGACTGCTTTTAACGAGACTCATTGTAGATTGGCTGAATAAAGTCAGACGACTTCGATGATCAACGATAACAGCCTCGAGATCTCCGGTTGTGTTCTCGTCACAGATCAAAGCAGGTGATGCAAGAAAACGCCTGTGTGAAACGCGTCACTAATCGATGCTGTGCACTGGTGTCGATTGAATAAAATATCGCGATGGAAGATCGATTTTATTAGCGGAGGTTTCTAAGACAAGGTTTAGCCCATGATACAAAGTCTTTGTATCATGATATAGCCGAGAAAGGAATCGTATCTCACGAAGAATTATATCACCTCGTGATTGAAAGCAAGAGAGCAAAACGTGAAGAGATCATCCGTCGCAGTCTCACAAACGTTGATCCATTTTTCTTTACTCATTTCAATCTCTCCAGATTTATTATATTTTAAATTATATAAATTTGTCGTGTGAATATTATAAAGAATTAGCATGCTATCGAAATCGTACGTATTTATGACAACATATATTAATGGATTAAAGTAGAAATATATAAATATATTGTGATGAAATTCGTAAATTATAAACTGTAAATTATAAACATAGCTGCAGGTTTGTAAATCTATGACTCTGCGACTTGAAAAACGAGACAAATGACATGACATGGATATCAGATAACATGGAATAGGCGTGGTAGATGATCCAATTTATCTATTAAATCGTCTAGTTGAAAGATGTTAATGCCATTCATTATAGCATTACACTTAAATTAATGTATCAGATATATCCTTACTGATATAACGAGATATAACTGATAGAAATAACTGATTATTATAAATAGAGTCTCATTTTTTCTAACTTGTATCACTTTAATGTCTTAATTTCTTATTAGAAAAATTTTTTATTATTAAGGTCGACAATTTCTTTATTTTAAATTTTATTTGTCTATTTCGTATATTAAAAAATGAGAAAGATATTTCATGTGATAATATTTCTGATAGAAAAATATGGATGTATTATAAATATATATTTTTTAGAAAAGTCCACTTATCGTTTAATTTTATCAGAAAAGGTAATAAAAAGTTTTTTATATTATTAACAGAAGATTTATTATAAAAGTAAAGATTAAAATTATATGGATATATTCATGCAAGATAGAAAATGCGATAAAAGCTCGAGGCTAATGTTTAAGTCTTCATAAATTGTCTTTTTTTTTTTACAGAAACGGTGTAGAAGCTTTAAATTTAAAAATGATTATGAAGTTAGAAATACCGAGCAAAATTTTGCTCTCCAACGCCAACGCCAATGTAATAAAATCTGAACGGCTGTTCCGTATTAGAAATGAAATCTCCCTTTTATTGTCCAGAGGAAATTATGTGATATTGGGAAGGAGGTGATGAAAATATCAATTTTCCAAAGAATGAAATCTATATGAATTTAATTACGTGTAATTGTGCACGTATAATATTGAGTCTGAGAATAATAAACGAATAATTTGATACTCTAGAGGCTCTCGAAGAGGAATCAATATTATAAGGTCATTTATTCAAACGCCAGTTATTAATATATCACAAGATTTTTATTCAGCTCTTTTATATGCTATTCGCAAGAGATTGTTGGCAAATTATATTTGATTATCTATCAAAGATTTACTTAATTTTGTTGAGATACCGTATACAGTTTCGATAATTTGACGAATCATCGGTGTCTTGCAGGAATGTCAACCAGAATTTCTGCGTGATCTCGTTCTGAAGATGAAGGCCTACATATTCACCCCTGGCGATTCAATATGTCGAAAGGGCGAGGTTGCTCGTGAGATGTTCATAATAGCCGACGGTATACTGGAAGTAATCAGCGAAAATGGTAGAATACTCACTACAATGAAGGCTGGGGACTTCTTCGGCGAGATTGGTATACTTAATTTGGACGGATTGAATAAGTAAGTAAAATTATTCTGGTTCTTTTCCTGGCCCAGCCAATATAATAGTCAAGATCTATAATAGATTCACTTCTCATTTCGTGAAGTTGAAGTAGACAATTACATGAGCTGCAAAAGAAATTCGCTTTTTCACATATAAATAATTATAAAAAAAAGACTGAGATATTTTAGAAATGCAAGAAATATTTTTGAAGAATTTACCTTTTTATAAACAATTTTAATTATAACCATAAAATGTTATGTCTTATTAATTTCGTATACTTTATAAGAGTTAAATTCTTAAAGTCGAAAATTCGAAAAAATTTTCAGACGCACAGCCGACGTTCGTTCGGTGGGTTACTCCGAGCTGTTTAGTTTATCGCGGGAGGACGTGCTGACGGCGATGACGGACTATCCGGAAGCGCAAGAAATCCTGCAAAATCTCGGCCGAAAGAGACTGTTGGAAGCACAGAGAGTATTGCGGGAATCTCTTCAATCTGCATCCCCCGGTCATGATTCGTCCGATAACAGCACCGGTAAGAGGATCGTCGATAAGCTGAAGAGTGACGTGAAGGGCTTGAAGAACGTCTTGCGGAAAAGTAGGCGCAACACTCGGCCGGAAGAGAGCCTGGAGCTTCAGCCATTGGCGCCGAAGGAGCCAACGCTGAAACGGCAGCAGAAGATCGACGACGGCCAAGACCTGTCTTTGTCTACTCAGGAGCAGTCGGTGTCACCGCTGGGCGCCGGTCTTCCGCTGTTGTCCAGGCTCAGGCTGTTGAAAGAAAAGGAGGAGAGGGAGGAACGGCGTAATTTGATGGACACATCGGCTAATACGGTAGAACCACATGTACCATCAGTCTCGGAGACCTTGAACCCCACCAATCCGAACTTGCCATTTTTGCAGAGGATACTTCAGCTAAAGACAAAAAACGAGCAGGAGACCACTCAAATAGAGAGAGAAATGCCCAAGGAGTCTCTACCTAAGAACACCATTCCCGAGGAAACGAGTACGCAGTCGGACGAGCAATCGTCCTCGGGTGGTCAGAGTGTCGCTATGACTACTGTGACCACAACCTCGCAGGTTAAGACACGTACTGTGTGCAAGCTGATCAATCCCTGGACCATGCTGAAAAATGCATCATTGACTCCCAAGGGTAATTCTTCGCAGAGAAGTTCACCGGCCAAAAAACTGCAGCAAACTAAGATGTATGCTTCCATTGATGACCTCTCGCCAGAATATTGCGATCTGCCATTCGTTAAGAAGCTCAAAATCCTCAACGAAAGGCAGAAGCTGGCCGAACTAGAGAAAGCGGCTAGGAGCTCATCCCTTGATTGCGGCGATAATGTTGAGCCAAAATTTGACAGCAACCTCACGAGAAGCCACTCGGAGACCTGTGCCATCGAGTACACCAGGAAGCTAGCTAAATATAATCAAGTAAGTGGTAGATTTTTAATACATAATGAATTTTTATAAATGTATTTTTTAATCAATTTTTTATACATTATTTTTAATATTGCTACATGACGATGACACTGACCAAACCATCGTATTCGATTGATGCCGATGATATCAATTAATGCCGATAACGTTGATCGACTTCGATGACACTGACGTCGATGATGCTAATCAACGATCTCGCGGACCGATTACGATGACGCCGACTGATGCCAACCGATTTCGACGATGCCGACCGACGCTGACGACGACGACGACGTGGACAGACTACGACGACATCGACCAACGCCAACCGATTTCGACGATACCGACCAACGATGACAACGACGACGATGCGGACCGATTACAACACCGATTTCGACTGTTGGAAAATACTATAAGAGGAAATGAATTATATATATTCTATTATATATATTCTATATTTATATATATTCTATTATAGCTAATTCATTTCCTCTATAAAGTACAGTAGACTTACAAAATAGTAATACTAATAAAGTACAGTAAATTACAAATACAAACCGGTTCATAAATAAGAACAGTAGGTTAATTATGGATTTACAAGAATATAATAAATGGACACACCAATCTGCTTTACTATGACAATTCTCTACAATTCTGTAGTCTTTCTTTGAATGGTATTTTTAAAAATAGAATGAAAAACTAAATCAATAGTATGAAATTTATTTAAATTTATTTAAATTCATTTAAATTTGTTGAGAAGCCCCAATTTGACGATTTCCGAAAGAGGATCAATACAATATTGCTTAAAATGAAATATTAAATATTTTGTTTATAAATGCAATTAAATGTTACAAACTGCAAAGAAAATTTTTCTGTGAAGTTTAGATAATGCATTGACAATGATAACAATTAATAATTTATATAACTCTTAATAATAAATGCTATGCATTGATAATAATGTTATATTTCTTGATAAGAATTATCAAGACATATAATGAACGCCGAAAAAGGAGTTTAAATGACGAAAAAGAAATTAAAACACGATATAATTGTTTAATATCAAATTTTTTTATTTAGAATTTTGTTTTGCATGATTGGGTTAATGTTTTTTTTTAAACTAAATTAAATTAAAATAAATTAAATTAAATTAATAATTTACAAAATTAATAAAATTAAATTAAAAGTTGAAGGAATAAAAATTTAACTTAATTAAAGTTAAGTTAAGATTGAATTAACTTAAATTTAAAAAAAAGTTCATTTTGAAAAAAATTATTTTGAGATCAAAATGTTCTAATTTTTTTTTAAATGAGATTACTTTAAATAACACAATATAGATTATTAGGTAAATTTAATTTTTTTATTCACATGGAAGTTACATTTACATACATATAATAAGAATCACAGCCTAAGATATTTTCGTTAAAATCTTGCGAGAGAGAAGAGTATATAATCTCTTTTTCTTTATCTAACTTCTTTTAACGTTTGAAACGATTGCTCACGTATGTTTACGGCTACATTAGATATTTGCTATAAAAAATACGTAAAATTACGTAAATATACATAAAAATTTAGAAAATAGATAGATGTGCAGTACTATTTTACATTAATTCTTTATCTGATTTCATATTTATATTATTGAAATATAATATTTATAACACCTAAAATTAGTGTAATTCAAAATAAGCGGGAATTGACAAAAATCTAGCGAGTCAATAATACTGGCTACCATATCGTGTGATTCTTATTATAGAGTCTCTAATCATAAAATCTAAACATTGAACTTTTTCTAAATTAATTCTCTAATGTTTAAGATTTAATAAAAAAAAAATGGCAGGGATAGAAATATTAAGAAGGAAACATTTTTAATTTAAAAAAGTGAGTAAATTAAAATTTAAAAGTAACTAAAGTTAAAAATTAATGTATTTAAAATTAACAAAGTTAAATTAAAACTCAATAAATCAAAAGTTAATTTTTTAATCTTTTTTTTCAACTTTTAACGTTTTAATTAGTTATTACTCAACTCTAACGTTTTATAATAGGATCGACAAGAATCACTGACTCCAGAACAACTGTCGTCAGAGAACGAGACGCTCGAGAGACAGAACTTGAAGAGCATTCTGAAGAAACTGTCAGCTAGCAGTAGGGCTGACAGTTCCGAGACCTCTGCGACGAGTACGCCTGATCGCGATGCCGCATCCGCCGAACTGAAAAAGCTGATGAGAGCGCCGACGATCGAGGGTTACGCCGCGCGGCATTCAAAGCTGTCCAAGAGTGTGACCTTCAACAAGTACACGCTGCAGAGCCCGCCGTCCGAGCAGCTCTTACAATCGAATTATCCGCTGTCCAGCACCCAAGATCAGCTGTCACTGCCGCCGCCCAATAAATTTAGTTTCCGTCCTGTGAGCAGTGCCGGTGATGTCTCGATACAAACGACATCCTGGCCGCGGGAGGAGTGCTTAGACGAATTGCTCTATGGGGTCGGCGAGATTATCAAGGCAGGCTTGGTGAGTGAGAAGCACGACTGCCGTTTCCTTTGTCCCTGCTTTCAATAGGTGAGGCTTTGTGTATCGCTCCCTGTCATCACGTGAGAGTGCCTTTATCAAAGGGCTGCTCTCGCGAGAGACATTCCGACAACACTCTTCAATATCGATATTTATTGACAGTACAAATAATCAGCGGAATTTACCGGCGAAAATAAATTTACGCTTATATTTTTTCCTTATTAATAATTTATTTTTAATTTTGAATTGTTTTAGATCTGCTATTATATTTTCTGCTCTTGTGAAGCAAAGAAGACTGTACTCGCTCGTAATTCTGCAAAATTAAACCCATCACCGTTTTTAAGCATGTTTCCCAAAATCCTGAACTTGGTACTTCTCATCACCAGATGTACGTTTATCAAGCCCATCGTTTATCAATTATCCAACTCCGCTTGCAGAAGTTCCCTATTAGTTGGATAGTTCCCGTATGACATATGCCCGCTGTCTTGATTAATCATACCACCGCTTTTGACATTGCAGGAAGACATACAAGTTAAGTTCACGTCGCTAGAGTTGGAAATACGTAAACGTGACGAAATAATATCGCAGCTACAGTCACACATTCAGCAACTGGAGCGAAAGAAACTGCGGAGAGCAGATGATTCCGGTGGGGATAGCACCGAGCATGATGCTTCCATGGAGGAGGATCTCGACGATGATCGTGAGGATCACCCCTTCATGCGTGATGGCTCTGTGGATACCGTCCTCGGGTCTATGCGGTCTCGCGATCGACACTCGTTCTCGTCCGTCGGTTCAAGCAGCAGGCGATCGTGGGAGGAACATTCGGAAAGAGAAACTATGGAACTACAGGAGCTGCCGAACTCAATAGTACCTCAGAAACTGTTGCGGAAGGATGTGGCGATCGATCTTGAATCGAACAGCGATAGCAAATCGGATGAAGAATTTGATATCCATTTTTCCAAGAGCGATAGCGATGAGGAGGACGAAGAGGAAGAGTATGATGATGAGGATGATGATGATAAGATTACGCGACAGGACGGCTACAATAATTGGGAGGTCACTCTGCTGGCGAAGCAGCTTGAGGCAAAGCAAAGAAATGGCGATAATCCCAATCCTTAGCTTAACGAGACTCTAGAAACATCGTGTTACCTCGGAAACACGATATGCTCTGACGAATGTAATCCGCTGGCTGAATCCAGTGGTAGTGCAGCTTTTTGCGAACGCGATCCTTATCCAAACATACAGTCATATTTCGACAACATGACTAGCTGCAGCGAGACTCTGATATAATCCGATCTCGCAAAGTGTTATTGATGTTTCTCTTCCTTCCCTTCTTATTTTTAATCCGTTTCTAATTTAATTTTTAGTGTCTGTGATAGGTCTAATTTAATTTTTAGTATCTGTGATAAATCCCTAGTTCGATGGATCAGCGATCCTGTATAATTTATTACTTGTATCGCGCAGATATTAGTTCGCATATAAAACAAAGTCTCTTGCCTTTTTCTTCAGCTTTCTTCTTTTCTTCTTTTTTTCTTGGCTAAGTGATTTTATTGCAAATATTTATAACTAATAACAACTGATAATTTTTATTCTCATTAACTTTGATTCATATTTAATTAAACTCAATTTTAATTTGATTAAACGTATATTGATGTAATATTTATAGATGTATCTGTAATATTTATAGATGTCGTATGTAGTGTTAATCTTGCATTCAAGTAGCAGCAATTCGACCTTCCTAAAAAGCTGCACTCGGAAAGAAAAAGAGAAAAGTGACAGAACTTAATGGGAAGTATACTTAGAATATACTGGAAAGGCCATACAATATGTAATCAATGTAGTAAGAGTATCTCCGTCCTTGTCTGATGATCTTGAATGCTTGTTTGCTGTGACACTAAAATACACATATTTTATATATTTTTATATAATTTAAATTAACTCAATACATAATCTTAAAGCTGGATTTAAAATTATCTCTGAAGTAAGGGTTATACTTACGCACGAAGAGATATTTTATTTTGCTTCGTTGATATTTTGAAACATATAACACAATAACATCCCATTTTTTAATTTTATATGCTTTTGTTTCGCGAGTTTTGAAGTTTAAATGTATGTATATAGGATTCGTAATCGATGCGCATTACGGTGAAGCATTCAGACAAGGACAGATAGACATTCTGGTGCAATCGACAGTCACCTATGACCCTTCCAATATATAAGTTCTAAGAGAACTGACCAAGCTCAATATTGTAGATTCCTAGATTTCTTTATAAGTAAGTAAAAATTCAAATTAAGAAAAAGTAAGAAAAAGACCATTAAGATTTGTACATATGTATGAGCGAGAATGCAAGATAATATAATATAAGGGTGCCGTCCCATAGAACGGAAATTGGCAACAGAACGAAACTCGCACGACGAATCACAGCCACTCCGTTTTCTTTTTTACGCTTTTCTTAAATTTATATCCCATTGAGCGGAATTAGCAGAAGCAGAACACGCGGAATAATATAAAATCATACTTTTTATATTATTTACAATACTTGTAATAATAAAAATAGTATTTTAATTGTGTTGATTCCGCGAATTCCGTTCCGTTGTCAATTTCCATTCTATGGGGCGGCACCTTAAGATTATAGGTAGTGTTCCATTGCAGAATCATTTTATCTTTAGTTGCGGTCGATTTAGACGCGCTTTCAGCGCTTTTCAATACTTCTTATTTTAATACATTAAAAGCCGATTGTTCCATTTTTTGGTAAATTTTACCTGTTAAAATTTATCTTATAAAATTTATCTTATAAAAAAAAACCAAAAGATGAAACAATCGGCTCTTAATGAACGATAAAGACAGAATGATCATTAAAGCGCATGAATTCAAATACTTCAAATCGATTGCAGCCTTGTTTGACACTCTGTAAACAACAAAGATAAAATGATACCTCATGTGTATTATACATGCAATGGAACGCAGCCTAAATGTATCCTATCTCCTTTTAAATGTATCAGAGTTGTATAAATGTGAAAAATGGAATATATTTCATCAAAAAATAAATCATAATAAATAATATGTTAATTTATTGAAAATTTATTTAAAAACAATATAATTAAAAAATTGAAAATTATTATTACAAATTTAGGTTACATGACATTTTCTCAAAAAACTAGACTGGAAAATATTGGCATTAACAAAAACTCTTAAGCAACACGATTTTAATTTGTATGGATTAGTAACACTGTTGAAGTAATAAGCCCATAAATTTGTAGTATGGACTTATGGACGAACTTATGGACTTAGGGACTCCTTATATAATAAAAAGAGTAGGGAACACAGAACAGAGAATAAGAATTTCAGAACCTATCTGTCAGAAATCATTGTAGAATATACAATTTCTGATAGGTTGAAATTCTTATTCTCTCTGTTCTTTTTGTTATGTAGAGCCCCTTATTACTTCAATAGTGGCTTAACAATTTTCAGATAAGAATGTAAGAATCAACCAATTACAGTCGAAGAATCAATTACAGTTCTCCTGTCGTTCGACTGTAACAGGAGAATATTCGACTGTAGTTGATTAATTCTTATATTCTGATCCGGATTAAACTTTCGGTGGAAACTAGACTACTGTTACTAATCCGTATAAATTAAAATCATGTTGCCTAAAGATTGTTGTTAGTACCAACATTTTCCAGTCTAGTTTTTCGGGAAAATGTCATGTAACCAAATTCTGTGTTCGAATTATGCGCCATAATGCGACATCTATCTCTATGAGCTGCGCCGCGCGGATTAAGCGTAGTACTACGCAAAGTCCGCACATAACCTGCAATCATAATAATAACAAACGCGTCGCGACGGACCTTTGTTATCAAATACTGCGGAGTCATAATATCTCTATCCACGATTTCGCGCGGTATAGGCCGCTATTGTGATGTCGAAGACGTGAGTCTACCGGGAATAGTTTCGACAGAATGGGTGACATAAGGGCTGGACTCGAGGACTTAAAGCTCGACAGTGCTCTCTTCGCCAATGTGAAATACTACGTCAGCGGTGCGGGCGATCCGAAGGTATGTTATAATTTCCGTTCATTTCCCGCGTTTTTGTTCCGCCGATGCTCCAACACCCGACGAATGGAACAGCCGTGAGATTCGCTGCTATCGCAGCTGACTGCGCGATATTTGTGAAAGTTATGCTGTTCTTTTTTCCGCTATGAAACCGATGTTCTTCGATTGTCAACGAAGGTTATAATTTGGAACACCATTTCACATTAATGTCGTCCTATCGTTGGACTATTTCTCTTTTCTGTAACTTATTTCTTAATATGTGGAATGACAACAGTATTGAAATATTTCAGATTTATACATGCCTGACTATTAGAAAATGTTACTGTTTGTTAATCATAGGCAATACTTTTACAGATTTTGAATTTATTGCAAGAAGGTGGGGCTGAGAGGTCTAATTATTTTAGTGATTATGTTACACATCTGATAGCAGGCAATGAAGCATTAGAAAATGACATTTCTGCAGCAAAGGATTTATATGAGATACCAGCAGTTACACAAAATTGGATTTTATTTTCTGTTAAATGCAACAAGCTTTTGCCGTATCCTTTTGCAAAAGACTGTTATTTTAATATTAATATTTGTTACAAATAGACACATGTTTTAAAGATAAAAAAATTCTTAGAGAAATAATATAACAAATATGTGAGCAGCTTAAATGTTAAAAAATTTACATTTATGGAAACACTTTGAATTAGCTTATTAAACATTTATTAAATTTAGGACATAATTTATATTTTCTTAACAACTTTATTTAAATAGAACGCAATATTTCTCACCAGAAGAGAATCAGTTATTTTCGAACATAAATGTCTGCCTATCCCAAGTAAGTCGAGCAGACAGCAAGTCTCTATGGGCAATGATAATACTCCAAGGTGGCAAATGTCAGCTACGCTTGGATAAATATTGCACTCATCTGATTACGGGCAAAGCAAGCGGTATAAAGTATGAAACTGCTACGAGACACCATATACCCATTGTAACACCTGATTGGGTAACGGAATGTTGTAAGAAAGGTACTCTCGTTAGTGAAGTGGAGTATCATCCTAGATTGCTAGTATCTCCAAATAGCTCGACAGCAATGATTACTGGATTTATGGATGAAGATACGGATAATAATGTTGCACAAGAGGAACAAGATAGGACAAAGGCCATGTTAGAGCAACTCAAGCAACGTATGCCATGGAATCAGCCAAGTCCACCAGTGTCTTCAAGTGCTTCGCATAACCTTGGTGCAACCAGTACAACAACTGTTCCTTATTCGACAAATGGACAAAATACTGTGAACATGCAGCCGCAACAGCATCTTCCACGATCAGTTTCCTCGACCAGTTTAAGCACTTCCACAGTTGCTTCATCAGTCTCTGACCAAGATGTTATCAATCAAACAAATTGGCTTCCACAGACATCTCAGCAAAATAATATTTCTCAGCAAGTAAAAGCTGTACCATCACAAATGCAGCAGCAAGAACTGTCTCCGCAACAGCAGCAAATGAATATGCAACATCAATTGATACAGCAGCAACAATTAACATCGCAACAGCAAATAACGCAGCAACAACTTACGCAACATCAACAACAGTTGCAGCAACCATCATACAACCAACAACAACTTTTGAATCAGCAGCAATCGCCTCAGTTACAGCAACAACAATTAGTAGGGCAACAGCAATCAATAATGCCTCAACAACAGCAACAACCAATAAATTCGCAATTATCTCAACATCAGCTAAATACGCAACCACAGCAATTATTGACATCGCAACAAAAGCAATTAAATCAACACCAAATTATTCAACAACAACAATTACAGACTCAGCAGCCACATTTGACACAACAACAGCAGCAGCAAGTGCAATTAGCATCTCAACAACAAATAGTAATGCAACAGCAGCAGCAATTACCTTCTCAACAGCAACAAATAGCAGGTCAACATCAATTAACTCAACCACAGACTTCATCGCAGCAACTTACTTCCGAGCAAAGGCAACTTCTTTTGCTGCAACAGCAGCAACAGCAGCAACAGAAGATACAACAGATTTCACAACAATTACAACAATCTGCTCCTCAGAACTCTCAACAATTTGTTATAAGGGACGGTCAATTACAACAACAGCCACAGAATCAGCAGTTAATTGGACCAAATCAGCAAGGATTTATTGTTCAACGGGATTCACAGTGGCAACAGCA